ACAAGTTTATATCAGTTCATTAGCATTACTTAAAATGCTGAAGCATGGTCGTGCAGGTGTCCCCATGGAAGTAATGGGTTTAATGCTGGGAGAATTTGTTGATGATTATACAGTTACCGTCGTGGATGTGTTTGCTATGCCACAGTCGGGGACTGGTGTGAGTGTAGAAGCTGTCGATCCGGTTTTTCAAGCGAAGATGATTGATATGTTGAAGCAGACTGGAAGGCATGATCACTTTATTTTGTTTTATATTCATTAGACCTGAAATGGTTGTTGGTTGGTACCACTCCCATCCTGGATTTGGTTGCTGGCTTTCTGGTGTTGATATGAATACCCAGCAGAGCTTTGAGGCACTTTCTGAACGGGCAGTTGCTGTCGTGGTTGATCCGATCCAGAGCGTTAAGGGAAAAGTAGTTATTACTCTACGGGTAACAAGTTTTCGTAGGTTGTTATCGATGCTTTCCGCTTAATTAATCCCAATATGGTTATTGCTAACCAAGAACCAAGACAGACTACGTCAAATCTTGGTCACCTTAATAAACCATCTATCCAAGCTCTAATTCATGGACTTAACCGTCATTATTATTCTCTTCCAATAAATTACCGGAAAAACAAAAGGGAACAAACGGTATGTGGTGTTCGTTTTTTTATTTAGATGCATTGTAGATGCTGATGAATTTAGATAAGCGCACTTGGCAGGAAGGTTTAACGTTGGCGGATTACACAGCGCATTGTAACGCCAACCATAAAACTCTTCTTCACGTTCTCGATCTTGTTAAGACATATAACAAGGTAATTATTTTCAAAAAAAGCAATACCTTTTCAGTCACTGGAAGAAGAGGAGAAGATGACACCTGAGCAACTTGCCATTAAGAATGTCGGCAAAATGGTAAGGTTGTCTTTCGACGACATCATGTCTTCTAGGACCCAAAACGTCATCTTGAGGAAAATGTGGATGAACTTGTGGCAAGAAATATCACTCAAAGCCTAGGCGCGATGCTTCATTCTCTTGTATACAATTAGTCTAATAAAGCCTGTTACTTTCATGCTTCTCTTTCGCACGAAACCGCTTGCGCTAATCGTAGTAGTTGACGTTTTAATTCATTTAGACATGAATGAAACGAATAGACTTTCAGAGTGGGAGCGTCAAGAGGTCGAACGAAAAAGGTTAGAAGCTCTTAGTCGACGTCAGCGTAGTATCGGATCCGCGCAACCGTCTAATACCAAATCATTTCCATCAAATGTTGTTTACCAGGATAATCGACTTCAGCAAAGGTAATACCTTTGTTTCCCACCAGTCTGTGTTCTTACTGGTTTCGGCGTGAGATATTACTCGCCTTTGCAAAACTAAGCGCCTCACATACTTATCTGCCGTGATTTTAAGGTAACCCAAAATGGCCGTTCAAGTTTTATTTCTGTCGGGTATTTGTTTGGAACCACCTTCCGCAGTTATCGTGTCGTGTCTACTTTGTAAACACGTTCTCTCTTCAAGAGCTCATAGTTTCGTGCCGTTTATTCCCGAAGTTCGACTTTTCACTGCGAGTTTTCATTTATCCTAATTATTTGGGATTCCCGGAGTAGGTTATCAACTTTGACTCAGCCACACAAACAACGTTTTCTGTCACACAGTAACTCTGATCTCATACCGTTGGCTCCACAACCAGTTGTCCAAATTCGTGAATTTAGTGATGCGCAATGACTTTTCTTTGAATAACGTACCAGTTATCATTTACTCAGCTCCTTGTGTGAGCTTGTCATGCTTATTGGCGATTTTAGGCTTAATCGGGATACTCCTGGACTTTCAGGTCACTTTGTTATTTATTAAACCTGGTTGATGTCACTATATCCTAGGCATTTTCGGTGACATGTAATCAATGCTAATTGATTATGCGCAAAATGTTCATCTGTAAATCCGCATTCTTTAAATTACCAAACAAAAAGCTTCAACTGGTTTCTTTTACGTTGCTTGTGGGTTAGTTTCAGCTGGTCAAATGCCCAACTGCAGATTATTTAATTTGCCTAATTTACGATCGAGTGGTTGTGTCACTCTAGGGTCGGTAATCAGCTAAGACATCCTCCCACGGGACATTCCTTTAACCCTCAACCGAAAACCGCCTTCAATACTGCTTCCCAAAAGCGTCTAGGTGCTCCACTGCCTCAGACTGCAGCGCCTCCTTCGAAGCGCCTCCTTCTCTCTAAGCGACCCAAGTTTAAGGTTTCCTGTGTCCTCGTTGATCGTGACCACTTTGAGGTACAGGCCAATTATCACGCAGGTCTCATGATTGTTTTCAAGGCGCTACCCTCTCGACAATACGGTATGTCGTGTTCCCCTTCTGGGCTTTTTCCTAACCCGAAAGGATTTAATTCGGTTACTCAGCATACTCCAGTGTCCCAGATTAGCCTGTTGAATGCATGCCAGTATTATTTAGGGCAAGTTATTTATCATGCTTAAACGTGTGTACGCTATCGTTTGGTCTCATTTAAACATTTATGAAATGATATTTACGAAATTGACGTAAGATTTTTATTTTCACACCAGGAGTCTGTAGAAGGCATAAGCGCAGCATAAGCTTGCGTGAAATGCTGGTCAGGAATTTTCCTGTGAGTGACAGGCACGCTGTACTTCGGTCAGCGTTAAGCTCTTTTCGGCTAGAGTAAATCAGGTGGCTGCTTCACGCAGTTGCATTTCACTTGCATTCTTCCTGTGTGTAGATAGCACGAGCAGAAAATGGCGTTTCCTCCTATCCGACTACAGGGAATTCCGTAAGTTTCGCTCTCTTTCTCTCACCGATTGTTGCGTAGTCAAGAAGGCTGCAGCCATTGACGACATTCAGCTAGAGGGCCTCTCTAGTGCCGTTGTCTCGGTAATTTGCCTGCTTTTTGCGTTTATGCATCACCTTCCAGACATTCAGGCAAAAGATTGATGGTATAAAACCGCCAAAGGAGGCAGAAGTTAGACTGGAAGAGAGGTTACCCAAAGAACTCATTGGTTCATTGATGAACTTTCAACGCGATGGTGTAAGGTAGGCGATTATGCTTTACTTTCACTTTGATGTTCGCGTTAAGGAGATCGAATTTACAGCAAAGCTCATTGGTGTGTATAAATTACACGCACTCAATGTTTTTAAATGTCTTAATTGATTGCTGAAACTGTCTACACACTGATTTCCTCCCGCCATTCCAGCCTAGCTCTTAATCGAAATGGGCGAATTCTATTGGCGGACGACATGGGCCTGGGCAAAACCCTCCAGGGCTTGGCCATAGCTGCGGCGTATCGATCCGAGTGGCCACTGCTCATCGTGACGCCCTCGTCGGTTCGTTTCGCCTGGCGCGAACAGGCCATTCGGTGGCTGGGGGGTCCGCTCAATTTGAGTCGAGCTGACATCAACGTCGTGAGTTCTGTGAGGAACTTCACGGCCGATTCAGACGGCGTCGACTCTGACACCCTCCACCGCAAACCCATCACCATATTTAGCTACGACCTCCTCTCTCGCTGTGCAGGCCAGATGGTCCACAATTTGTCTTTTGGAGTAGTGATCATGGTAAGCAGCACAGGTGGACGTCCAATTAAAACTGCTATCCATTCCGTTTTCAATCACACTTGAATGACGCGTTATGAGGCATGAGATTCAAATTTTACATCTTTTTAATTGACGCCCTTTTTTCTGTCCTCTTTAGGATGAATCGCACTTTTTAAAAAATATCAAAACCTCCCGCACTAAGGCCGCCCTGCCTATTTTAAAGGTTAGCTTCCACTTTCCTTAGGGTTTTTTTACATTATCCCGGCTTCAATATATGCCAGGTTCACAATTGGTGCAACGGTTTGTTAGAGGAAGCGCATAGTGTATAAAGTTTTTCTACTCAGTTGTAATAAGTAGCAAAGAAGTTTAAGCCTATGTTGCAAGTCCTCAAAACCCTTGCAATTTTTGCGACTGTTAATGCTTCTGTGTCTAATGCATCTCCACCTTAGGCAGCCAAGCGCGTCATTCTGCTGACGGGTACACCGGCTCTCTCCCGGCCCGTGGAACTCTATCCACAAATTACCGCTGTTCAGCCATTCCTCTTTCGGGGCGGATTCCATGAATTCGGTCTGCGTTACTGTGCTGCCAAGGAGAACCCCTGGGGCTGGGACTACAGTGGATGCTCCAATATGCAGGAACTTCAAATCATCCTGGAGGAAACCATAATGACACGGTGGGTAGATCCTTTCACAAGTAGTACACATCAACCTCGTCGCGAACACTTGTTAAAGTTTATTCTTTTTGTGAGTCAAAGTGAACATAGACTGGAACAGCAGCAGATAGGTTCTGCAATGCACCTGTATCGGACAGCCGATACTGCTCGATAATCACACCTCCAAAATGTAGGCTTCCCTCAAATCGTAAGCCACGTCGCGTTAGTGCTTATTTTAAACCACTTCACTGTTCGACTAGTGAGCTGGCTTCAATAAATTTCCTCTGTATGCTGTATTTCGGCGTGCAAAGTATTTAGTCTTTTTCAGACGTGTCAAAAGCGAGGTTTTGAGCCAACTTCCGGCAAAACGGAGGGAGGTTGTGGTCTTGGATCCCGGTTTAATCAAGCGCTCGGCCACTTTTCAACGACACCACGACTTGAACTTGGCTGCAGTTGACCTCAAGGTAAGCTCCCAACCCTAGTCGTGCTAGAATAATGGCTGGTTTTCTTTTCGGTATGTATATAACAAACTTGCGCCGTATTCGTTCCTAGGCCCTCGATAGACATGGCGACCTCCTTCGGTACTTCATGGAAACCTGTCGCGTGAAACAACAAGCTGTAGGGTGCGTTCATCAGCTCGTTTGTGCGTTTTATGCTTTTTGACTCACACGGAACTTTGTTTTTTTTGAACACACAATTTACGTGCCCACAATTACTCATGCTTGTTTGTTTAATTACTGGGGTCGGTTTGATTTACTTTGAGCATCACAATGGTAACATTCGAAGTTCCCGTGGTATTTACTGCTCCTGGTAACCGAATATCCTGTTGTTGTTGAATTCTACAGAAATCTCGAGAAGCCTTCGCGACGTTGAACCACCCTAGTTTAATTGCTAACGTCATTTTCTAGCCCATGGCTCTAGCGTAGGGTACTTTTCCACGATGTGTATCTAAAGGATTTTGCTGTGTGAATCGACTGTTGGGAAATACTTCTTTGCAAGAATGTTGCTTATTCCTCTTCAAAAGTGTCCATTGTAATTGGCGGCTGCGTTCTTTCGACTCCCTGGAATGCCATAAATCTTGTCCAACTTTTTGTGCGTTTTTATTCCCTACTCTTCCTTTTTTCCAACATCTCCTGCATTTTTAGATATTTCAATTAGTAGACCTGCCTCTTCACTGCCTCGCTTCTTCCTCTAGTTCTCCGTTATTTCAGGGTATCCCATTTATCTATTCCCTTTTCGAATAATCCTTCCATGGAATAAACCGCCCCTTCTCTGGCCAATCACCAAACGTCAAGAGAACTTCATTACAGGACAAGTATTCGCGCGGGCCTTTTAAACCCATAGTATTCCATTAGCTTAAGTTTGCGGGTAAGGGGGCAGGTCACAAACTGCGTAGCTCCTCCTGCGCTCACCACCAGCTTTTTTATTATTTCACGCACGCAAAGAAAATTTGCTCACGACTGCGCTTCATTCTCCACTTCGCCCCGTTTTTCGTCCAATTCAAAATTTATTTTTTGCTGTCCTCACGGACGCTGTTTAGGGTTTGTGACGGCGCAGGTGGGAGGAGGAGGAGGAGGAGACGACAGCCACGACTTGTCACCCCAAACTCTCTTCCAATGTCACTTTTTCCCTGGATAAAAATAATTTTCACTTCTGGTACTACTGGGGATGCGTGTCCACTTACTTCTTAATTGCCCCGGACATTAATCCCAGCGCTTAGGGTGCGGGTCAAATTGCATCGCATCGTCGACAAGCTGGCCTCTTGAACAGGCGTTAGTTCAGGCACAAGCAACATGAATGACACTGGTGATGCTGGTGGTCGAAGTACCGCAGAACAGTGGGCATCCATCTCACAGAACCGGCAGTCTACTGCTCTCAAATGCAAGCATGGTGTTGTAGGCCTTTATACCACCTTAAGTCCCTGGTGTTTCAAGCCTGGACAGTGAGTAGACCCGACAGTTTACTCGCCTGCCAGCTTTGGTACGTCATTGTGGTGTGTGTAAGCATGGGTGTATCCGCAGGATACTTGTGAACGGTGAAGATTAACGGTTAGGGGGAGGGAGAACCATGAGTATTAATCATCTTCAAATACCCTATTCAGACTGGCTCCCGAAGGCAAACCACAACAATCCCACCGACAAGCCTGCAGCCACTTTGATGAGACTTACAGTCCGAAAACATGCATGCAGCCAATGACTCATAATCACCACGGTGGCTTAGTACTCGTATTTTCGCGATTCAGGTGGTCAGCAGACCAGGTGATTGAACAGTTGCCATGGTGTCTATCTACACTTTCCTGCAAATGTCGGAGCGGTTTGAGGACTTGACGACCAGGGTACCCTGGCCTAGCCAAAATCAACCCCAACGGTCGTTCTCTATTAGGTTGTTCCGCAACCTTCCTCACATTTTACTAGTAGTTTGGGGTATTTACCCAAAGGAAGAACCATTATGGAAGCTTATTTCGACGCCAATGGCCCTAACTCAATTATCTTCCTTCTTTTTACGGTGATAGATGTAGTGTTTCCTGCTTCCTGGTCCGCGTTTGCTAGTGTTACATCTTACGAATAGGAACCAAGCAATTTGTGTGTATGATAAAAGGTCAAGCAGAAGTTCTCTCTCGTCGTCGTAAGCGGTATCTCTTTTCGAAGACCACGGGGCCATCAACTTTTGCCTGGTTGACATTGGAGACGCACACCAGTTGAATAATTAAACATGAAACCACGCATTTGTACCGGGGGGGTCTATGAAAACGCCTTCGTGTTTCGATCACAAAAGGTGGAGAACAGTGTCAGTGGCAATCATTCGGCAAGTTGGGTTAAATACACCGATTAGGCACGTTCGAAATAAGGAACTCAGGCAAAGCAAGTGTGTCCAGTGCTCTAGATGGGTGTTAATTGTGACAACGAGGAAACGAGCATCTTATTGCCGCGATGACCGTTTGCAACTGCCCATGGCCAACTGCTGACAGGCGGGTTAATTTGCCTAATGCACATCCCACCCTCTTGCATGCCTTGTCTCCGCGTTTTTGGCATATGCTGACAGTTACGAACGCTCAAACACACACCTACGCACGCACGCACGCCGGGGCTTTGCCTGAGTGGTTTGGCTAATTAATCGGCGCCCCTTTTGTCTCCTCTCAATTGTCAAGGCATTGTCAATGTCACCGTGGTGGCAATTTCAGTGCTTTATTTGCGAGATTGATTTAAACACGCAAACTCAACCGCGGTTTAATTTCAATTACCTTCTCCAAATTAAAAAAATACGGTTTCTTCACGTCTGGGCATGTTCCGCAAGAACGCAATTTCATGTGTTAAAAAGGCCACTTCCTCTCTTGTTCGTCATACTAGATCGGGATTTTTCCTCACACAAATTTACCATTTACCTGGTGGTTTGGTGTGTAAGTTTTTGTTAATCCTCCCCAACCCCTGGTCTGTTTGATGATTGATTATCACGCTTCATCCTATCAGCCCTGGGTCTTGTTGGAAGCACCTCATGTCCTTAATGTCTTTTGTATCCTAGCACAGTAAGCGAGCTTTCTTGAAGAAGATCGCCAATTGTGAGTTAGTCGACTGTTCCCAGCATCACTGCTTGTGTAGGTTGGCAATTCTAGTCTCGTTTGGTTGGTCACTCTATCATTCCCACAAGTCGGTGCATCGCGAATTCTGTTTCAGCTGTAGTCGTTCTTCTGTCCATAAGACCGGGAGTGCAAGCTTCCGACCCGGTCGCATCTTAGGCCTGAATTCGGCTCACACTATCTCCAGAAGCTGCTGATGTTTCACTTAAACGCATAATTCAAAACCAAAGAAATACGCTTTGTCTCAACCTGTGCATTCGTGGTGTCGTGATTGAGACATCATGTCTCCTGAAAACCCCTAACCATTCTAATCACAAGTGAAATGTCTGTGATAGAAACGAATCTGATAAGCCCGCCATAATTGCATATTTGGAGTATCGTGAATCGCATCAGCCTCAGGGAAAGGTAGTGTGTGTGCCAAGGGAATTATCTGTTCTCACGTCAAGTCTGCGCGCCTGTCGTGGTTGGTTTTTCACGCTTCCGCTCACAATTTGTGGTCTCACATTGAAGTCTCTTTCCTCACTCTAGACTGCAAAAAAAAGTGTTCATTGAAAAAAAAAACAAATTTATTGCTCGCATTTTGCCCAGCAGAAAAAAATTGCAGTTGGGTTGACACCTGGCTTCAGATCAGTACAAAAAAATACATTTCACTCGCTCTTCCCCCACTTCCCAGCCGTCGTCAAAGCACAAATGTCACGCCCGTTTGACCTTTTGACTTGTCGTGAAAAATTGTGCTCTACTGCTAAGTTGACACATTCCTTTCGCGTCTGCGCCATTCGCTTGATTTCGACACAGCTTAGGGCACGTGGGCGTCGTTGAGGCGTTGTTTTTCGTTACCTCGATCAGATTTTCAATTTCCAATGTCGATTTTAACATTACACAACAGTTTTCCCTCGGACGCTTAGATATAATGTGATGACTATGTGCTGTAGCTCCTCAATGTCTTGTCTGTATTTCAAAAAGAATACCTGCTTCTTTGTCTACATATCTCTATTATCGTCCCCTCAATCCTATTTTAAAGTGTATGCTCGTTTGAGTAGTTTGTGTTTTCAAAAAATATAAAATGTGCAGTTAAAAGCCTTGCAAAAGGCCTTATAAAACCGGGCCTTGTTCTGCGAGTTTCCAAGTAGTTAACTATTCTTTCCCTCTTCAGGCAATACGTGTCTGACCTTCTTGAAGCGGACAGAAAATTCATCCTGTTTGCGCATCACCAGGAGATGCTTGACGCTATGAGCAGTATTCTTGAGTCAAAGGTTCGTTTATACAAGCACTCAATTCCAGGGGCCATCACACATTTTGAAAATTTAACCTGCATACCCTTAAATGGACCTGCAAGTGGTTACTTCGCTTCCTCTGTAGTCCGTCGGTTACATTCGGATTGACGGGAAGACTCCTTCGGAACAACGAAGTGTTGTCTGCGAACGCTTCCAGACCGAGGACAACTGCAAGGTCGCTCTGCTCTCGATCACTGCCGCCAGCACAGGTGAGGAGGCAGCAGCGACGTTTCCTGCTGCTCTTGAGCCCAGCTACTAAGTCGAGTCTTCGGTTGTAGCAGCCACACTGGCTCGCTGGTTTGTAGGGGTTCGGTTACGCTACGCGGATATCCGAGAAAAGCCCAAGTAGACCAGAAGCGACTACTGACGCACCCACTTACTAGGTGGCTCAACTCGGTTGTGTCTTTGCGGTTTTACTAGATCGAGTATACAGCAATTCATCGCAGTTTGCTTTTAGCGCGCACATTTTTATACATTCCGCGGGATTCAAAATACGTGAATTTTTAAAATAAGCATTCAAACCCCTTCTTCAATAGTTTGTAATTTTTACTAAGGCATGTCGAAGGAATAGTAAATCGAAACAAAATGGACCTAAAATAACACCAGCTTAAACGGGTACTTTAAGTAGCCTAAAGCTTCACTCTACCAAGTTTACTGATACGACTCGCTATTGGCTGATTTTTCATAAGCCACTTCTTTGGATGTACTTACATGTCGCGGCGTGCATCTTCAAACGTGTCTGCATATACACAGGGGCCGAAATGAAACCCGATTTGATGGGAAGGGGTGGATTATTAGGGTGTGTGGACGTGTATAACCAAAAACAGGTCCACACACAATTAATGCTTCCAGTGTTTAGTCACTTGTCCATTCCTGGGCCATCGACGTAAACTTCTCCAAGCTATAGAGCACACTTTACTGGACTACTTTGCCACGAATCTCCAATTCCTATCTCGTCGATTTAGTTACCTGATGTCGAAGTTATCATGGCGCTTAACTTAAAATTGTGTTGTTTGGTTCGCCTGCGTTCACTAAACCACATCGGACAACTTTTTGTCATTTGCTTCGACTTGAAATGGGAAGGTGAATGTATTTCGAATCCCCGGTTTCTGATTGTAATAGCTTTAACACGTATTTACTTCATAATGGAACTTTGTTCGGGGTTTTAAACAAGAATCCGACTCACCATCGTGAAATTTGTCCTTGTCTACGTCACAAAGAGTAGGAGATTGTGAAAAATTGCGCACGAAATGAGCCAAGGGAACGGAAACCGTACTCTCTATTAACGTCACCTAAGTAACATTACAGTAGATGTCCTTGGCACTGTCACTAATTTTGCGTCGGGGTAGTAGCGGATCGCATGAATCGCAGCACGTCGAACCCATGATTCCATTGTGCTCCACTTTGATTAACCTGCGCAAATAACCTTCATTCTCATATTGTACCAATGGTTTGTTGTGCATCTTAGAGGCTCCTACGATTGAGCAATTTTCTAGGCGGCTTGAAAACTGACTAGTTATTGTCTTTTTCCACTCCACTTTACCCTTTTTGCTTGCCGGCTTGCCAGGGCTGAACCTGACGGCTGCAAGTCTGGTGGTGTTCGCGGAGCTCTTTTGGAATCCGGGAGTGCTTGTCCAGGCTGAAGACCGCGCCTATCGCATCGGGCAAAAGGACTCCGTCAACATCCAGTACCTGCTTGCTGAGTCCACGGCTGACGATCAGCTTTGGTGGGTGGTTGTTTCCTGTAGTGTCTCGACAACGGTATTAACCCCGGTGCTCTTTCTCATACCATAATTTATTACGCCGTTGTAAAAGTGACAGGCGATGCGTACCACCAGTGGCCACGTGTTCGTATGCGTAAATTCTACCCTAATTTTAGGGCCTTGGTGAAAAACAAGCTCGACGTTTTGAGCAAAGCAGGTTTGAACACGGAGTCCTTCGACAACATGGACCTCACGCGTGTTCCAGTAGGTTTTTCTGCAGCGTCTCTAGTGTCCTTATTGCTGAACTACTTTATTTCGCATCTTTAACCAACCCCTCTTGAAAGAACTGCTTTTTCGTCTGCTATATTTTGACAATGAATCTCAGCTCAAATTAGTCACTGCAAGACAAACTTGCGTTTAGGTTTAATGCATCCGTCATCTGTAAGGGGGCAATCAGACTGGGGGGAACAAGTAAAACCGTGCCTTCTCGGTGGAAAAGTGAGTCGCTTTAGTCGAAATTACTCGACAGTTCGTCCATTGTGCAAATATCGTGGGTGTTATATGGACTTTGGACGCTGGACCTTCGATTGAAGCGAACCTAAACTTTTACTAAAAAGGAGTCACCCTACTCCGAAACAATGCCAGAATGGTATACTATCTAGACGTTTTTTTGTCATCATTGCTTCGTGGGTATTGAGTAAGGTAGCGTGCTTTATGTGCTTTTCGTGTGACTACTAAAACATCCAGCTATTACTAAATCTGACACCAATTTCTGACCGTTTTTAACCTCTTCAGGTTATTAACAGTTCTGTTTAACTTAGATGTTCAAGATAGAAATCGAATTTTCGTATGAGTCGACACCTCCCACTTTTTTTATTGTAGTCGACCAAGGCAAAGTTGGAACCGAAACTCGATCAGTTTTTCTCCAAAGAAGATAATCCCGCCCTCGTGTCGATCCCTGACAAAATTTCCCAGGTATACGTCATTGCATGTCGTACCTTTGTCGATCAGTGAACCAGTTCTTGTAATTCCCTTCTAATTGGTCCACTTTAATCAAAGTGTTTGTATTGGAAAATACAAACCAAGTTTCAGTTAAGGCCAAAATATTTTACGCGATTTGGTTTTCCTGTGAGGGACACGTTAATTTCAGCGTAGGATTACTCGAATCAGGCGACGACTAGATGAATCTGTGACCTTAATTTTTACTTAATGATTTCGTTAAATAGGTTACCGCAATTACCCATAAATCCGGTAGACAATCATTTTCTAAGTGTGGTCGTGTTTCTTCACCACTAATTAAATGATCGAAGTGTTTGCTGATCATAAAACGTGCGAAAATGTTAGGCAGGACTTCAAGCACAAAATAAGTGCCTTCGTTGATGATGATCTGATGCCTTTTGCCCTTTATTTCTTCCCAGAAATCTAGTCAGGTCGACACAAAGCCCGAGGATGTTGTGGATGGTCTCCTCTTTGAGGAAATCCCTCCAGAGCTATTCACAACCGACTTCGACAGCGAACCCGTCCATGAGGTCCTTGAAAGGACTCGTCAGGAAGACCTTCAGAAGCGCCGCGTGTCGCCTCTTTTTCCCTCTGCACCGTTTTCACCCTTTGACCAATCCCCACTATCTTCCACTTGTTCGACGAAACGCAGCAGCCAAGTTCTCGTGCCGGCCTCGCCCGAAAAGGAGAATGTGGATGCACTCGACGACGATGACGACCTTCTGCAGTACATCGCAGAGGCAGCCGAGGAAAAGTGGCTCACTGATTCCTTCTTGAACCAAACCGGATGAGAATGAGAGACACATTATCCTCCCTCATTGTACATATGTTTTAACAAGAGTTGAATTATTTTATACTTCCGCCTCCACCTCACGTCTCCTCCGAGTATGTTTGAATGAAGATAGAGCCTTAGCGAGTGTGATTTGTGCGTGAAAGTTCGCCATCACAACCGTGACTTCTTTTAATCACCTTGTGTTTGTCAGCTCCTTCAAACTTTGATATTCGAAAGGCCTTATCGTTTTGAGCCGTCCGAGGTGCGCTCTTATCACTGGCCCAATTTGTCTTCCAGATGTATATAACGCAATTCCATAACCACTGGTTTTGATACATTGTTCAAACCCCAGCCCAGTCATACACCCTTCGGTGCTTGGTCCCAAGGTACACTATGTGGGAGATGTACTTCTAAATAATTAATCGTTTCTTTCCTAGTTTTGGACAAGACACGGTTTCAAATGTACTCCTCAAGGTCGAATTTGGCATACTGGGAGGCTACTCACGGCAATGTCAACTCGGTAAAAAAAAGAAAATTTAAATGTAGACAAAACAATCGCATCAATTTGCGCCGGTTTTAAAATCCTTTGCTTAGTGAAAAAAATACAAATGTTTCAATTAATGCAGTTATTCTATTTCAATCGGCGGATGCTAGGAAGCTGGTACACTTCGTTGACTTCTAAGATGTCTTTTGTCGAACCTTGGTACTCCCGATCGCGTTAAGGTAGAGTTTATTTATGAAAGATCTTTGTTATTTCAAGGGGTAAACTGAGGTTGTTATTTGTTGGCCCACTGGTTATTAAACTTGTGAAAGTTCGTTCCCTATCGTACCTTTCTCAATGTGAATTTACAGTCCTGTATGCTTAGGTACGGTCTATTTAATGGGGTTGTTGTCAAATCAATTCTGCAAGCAATCCTTTGGCATTTAAACAGATTTCCAGTCCACCCTCATGTACTCTCTTGATACTATTGATCAGATCTGTGTAAACATATTCGAGTTAGCTAATTGGATGAAAGTAGTTTCAACATTTCGCCCTATCATGAGTCTGCAGCTACTGAGGGAATCCATCCCTTAAATTATCGTCTGATTTTTAACTACCAATCAGTCGGTTGATATTTTACGAGTATCCGAGACACCGACTTGCGATTTTGTGAAGATTTAGAAATATGCAAAATTAAGTCCTCTTAAAAAATTTTTGACCTCAGTAAGTTTCTGTTTTGTTAAGTTGTAAGCTCTTTTGGATTTCCGTTTCGGGCCATGCTACTGTAAATACTCCTATTTTGACTAACTACTTTTTCAAAGTGTCCATTGGGAAACCGGGTTTATTCCTATCATCGGAGGACTTGACTGATGTAGAGCGAGGATCATGTGGTTTTAATTCCTGTAAACACACGAGGCACATCGTGCTTCGTAGACCCTCTGTGTGTAGGGCCTTTCAATTGTGTTCTGACGCAGACGAAGCCGTTGCACTGGCATTCGCTGGTCACACTGCACTACCTTCCTCCCCCGACTTGAGCCTTCGCAGGAGGCGCTTTTCTTTGGATGAAAGTGAGTGATCGAAAGAGGTGTACCTTTTTGCCTCTTCAATGGCGGGCCATAAGTGTTGTGGCATTTTCACGCTAAATGTTGTCGTTTCCCAAGCCCGCCTCCACCTCGTGATGACAGGCCTGGCATTTTGACCAAATAACGTGACCTTTCGCCGTCTGGCCCAGAGTATTTTATTGTTCGGGTGCTGCTGGAAGTCAAGGTGGCCTCCTACATTGGTGCGAGTATTCTCCTTATAGTCCCCCGCCTTTCCCCCCTCAAATAATTTCACCCCTCTTAAACTGCATTTACTTTGCGCCTGCTGTCTGGCGTTTTGCGAAATTTTGTCCTTTTTTGGCCCAGACACTTAATGTTAGCATGACTGATTTTATGGGCCGGGTGAATTTGTAATTCTGCAAATCACAATGACCAATTCATTGGCCTGTGATCGGTCGAAAAGTCCTAAACATAAAAGGCAATGCACACTTGCACATGGCATTCCTTCGGGTCGCCAGCCCATAAAACGGGTAATTGAAAACTACCGATACTATCTGCATCGTAGTCTGATACACCATAAAGAAGACTCTGTAACCCCTCTCTGGCTTTGTTTTGGCGTGCAGCGCACAAATCTGAAATTTTTAAGTTTGGAATATCGAAATCGAGGATGAACCCCTGAACTACCATTTTTTTTCGGAAAAGTGTTTAAGTGATTAACTTCGGGAGCGAATTTTCTTTAGCGCTAACTGGTTGAAGCTAATTTTGTGGATGGAAAATTTTAATTATAACAGCATTTGCTTATTTAATGCGGTTTTAGTAGAATTTTTAGACAACACTTAGCACCTATGAGCTAAGCTAGATTTTACTCCACTAGTCTCCGTGTTTTGGAATTTAATGGGAGTTGAAATTTTTAAAATGTTGATTCCTTTGATCTACTCCATCCATATCAGATTTTGGTTCTAGTTTTATGTTTTTACCAGCACAAAACTTAACCGAAATCCAATATTTATTCCATATTATTAGCTGCTCGTCGCATCAAAAGCATCCTGATATATTCTCAGCTATTGGAATGAAACCATTTATTCTTGCCATAGGGACTGTATTCCATTTCCAGTGAAATGCTAGGCAGGTTGTAGAGTAGGATACGATTTCGTCTTTCTCATTGAAATTGGGAGCGGGCTGTTATAATAGCAAATCTACATACACCAATCAGTAGAACTCCCCAATTACTGGATAACTGCCATTGTTTTGTTCTACACTCGCGTCAAGTTCACAGCAGTTTGTAGGATTCAGTTAATGCTGATATTTACTGTTGCGACTCCCTACGACCCAGTCGACATTTCCGCCCATCCACTGTGTGTCGGCGCGATTTGTCATTCCAGATCTGTCAGCGGCACTCGGCTTTTCCTCTGTGCGCCGTCCTGCGCCTCCTCCTCTTTCACGTGAATCCAATAAACTGTTCTTTGGATTTCTGATGAATTCTATTCCGGGAAGAATCTGACTGCCTGCTAGACGGAGTTTTTCGACCAAAATAAGAATTTATTTCAAACCATTCTTTTTAGTGGGAAAATATCTTGCCGGTGGCCAAAAGGCAATCAAATTTTCCACAATCTAGCACCCTTAAAAGCCATGCAAAATTCTAGTCTGTCTTCGAAGGTCCGATTGCATAATTATTGAAAATTTCAGGAAATCTCAAAAGCAGCTTTGAGACGAAGTTCATGCATACTGATTTCATGCAATTATATAATTGATGGTAGTTCGATACAGTTTAAACCCCGTTGATTAGTGAGAAGAAAGCTAAGTCTGGAAGTGAAAGATACCGTTACAACCCAAAGTGTGTTTCTTAAAGCAGTTTTGTGCAATGAAATTGCATCGGCAAACCTCTGGTGAGGCAACCTGAGACTCGATATCAGTTTCCAAAAACGAAATGTGTGAGTCGGTGACTTCACATTGATTGGTCATTTTCCCAAAAATGTGAGTCGTAGTTTCACGAAGTAGGCAATGCTCTAAAAATACACATTGTGTGCACATAGATAAGACTTCTTTTGTTTGCTGTAACCCTAAAATGCAACAAACTGCCGGACAGAAATTGCGGTGTAATGTCAGTAACATGACAGATGTCTGTTACCGCTTCGTTCAGTGCACTCACAACGCGATAATTCATCCTTGTAACCTTAGATTCTCTCATTAAATTACCATAAGACCCCATTTAACGTCACCTTACTATATTACGTACAATAGTTAATCAAATACGTAATTAGTACGTACTTTTACAGAACGGTTCCGCCTAAAATTTGATATTTTTTGATGACAGTTCCTGATCTGTAGAACTCTTCAGCTATCACCTGATTTTCCATTACTCGTAAGGCCAAGTGGACGCATGCACAGTTATCATCCTCCGCAGTCTTTTCAAATGACATTTCCCATCTAATGAGATTGATGGCACATTAATCTCGTCGTCAAGTAGTGCATCTCCTTTTCTGATGAACGTCGAATGTATGACCGTTTTAAGGGCAACCTCTTGCTCATGTGAATACTGTTCCTTCCCGTCCCACTAACTGTGATTTTAGGGTTAAAGTCTCGTTTAAATTTGGCATTTATGTGGAGAGAAAGTGGTTCCAAGAAATATGGATCTTGCCGTGGAGCCGATTCAAGTGGATCAAGGCTAAGTATTTTGAAGTTTGAGAATCAGGTTTGGGCTGTAACGTTGCTTGAGTGACACACACACTCTCCCCCCTATATGCTCACTAAAATATTTTTATTGTCGTCCGGTAGCAAGTACGAAATTCATGGACGCATGGGTTTCTGTAGGCTGCTTATCGAACTCTCAAAATTGAAACTCAATCTAAGGAGACTGTAATCATTACCTCGTTAATTGGAAATAGGAACCTTTAAGTAAAATGTATTGCACAATCATGGTACTTAAGTAAGTTCTTCATCAGCACAGCCTACAACCGTAAGATGTTGCGTCCAAGTCAACTTCACTGCAAGTAGCTTCACTCCCGAATGTTATCCATTCCATGAGTTTAAAGCAGGCTCACTGACTTTTCTTCGCTATCAAATTTTCACAAAAATCAACTTTATATTAAGCTCTAATATCCAGTGTAGTTAAACAAAAGCTAGATAAAGATGAGTTAATTTTTAGATGCGTATTACCGTAAGCAAGCACGTTTGGCAGGCTACTCAGGTATTTTTTCGATCATTAGATTTATCTCAACAACAACAACGACGATATGTAAAAGGTTCGTATGCAAGGTTTACAATAATTGCGCTCAAACTTCGGCGATAGTGGTTTTCATTTATTTGACACCATTTTGGATTCAATTTGCTAATCTGACACCATCGACAGTCTAATTAAGCTGAAAACGGCCTTCACAACCTCGGTTCAATTTCTCCAGCTATAAAATGTAATTGCAAGCAATGAAAAGTGCAACATAACATGATAATCATCCCAACGGAAACATGATATGCTGGGTGCAAATTCCTTACATGCCTATTTTAGTAAACTCAGCTGGTTGTTTGTTTGGTTTTTGAAGGTCACGTTTGTGGAGGTGCTTCGTGGGGCAGAGTGTTGGATTGATTAGGCAAGAATTCGACGTCATCGTAAACGAAGGGTATAGTTAAATAATGTAAAACAAAATAATTAACTCACATCAGATAACTGCGGTGCCCGACAACTTGTTTGCATTATTAACGAAGCAGATTGTCATTCTGTTCTTGTTAATTTCCCAAGCAGCCTGACGTCTGTTCCTGTCTAAACTTTTTGACACCTGCGAAAAGTCTCGCTTGAATATTTGCTTCACTAAAACCCTCGGTAGATGCGCTGATGCAAATTAAATGCACTGGATTTGCCGTCTGAAAAACGATTCTTGCCGCGATTGTCAGTCTTTGGTGATTTAGTATCGCAGCAAAATCATCCACTGGCCTGCGGACTCATAAAATTGTCCCTACGCTGCTTACAGGGTAAGAGGACATGACCTCCTGGCTAGGCCTCAGAGATTTTCCCACCGCCGACACATTTGTCTGATTTATTTCTCCATGCAAATAAGCAACGATTAAAAGAGCCTCTCTAAAGTTGCATAAATTTAGTTGACTCATCTGGTAGGCGCAAGCGCTTTGTGTTTGAGGGAGTTGGCTTGGGCAAGACGAGGCACAGATCAATATGCATTCACTGCCTTTGGTTTCAAGTGCTTTTTGGAACACGCCAAGTCTGGAAATGATGAGGCAAGCCCACTTCTTAAGCAACGAATCCACGGGCTTTTCATGATCCATCCACCTCACCAACTTGGATGGAGGTGTCGACCTAACGATGAACTGGAGCTGAACCGTGTCTTAAAAGGAACACGTTACTAATTTGAAATATTTTCTTTTGAAGTGATTGTGAACTCAGTAAATGTTCTGAGATCCATATTTACCCTGGATGTCCAAGTTGTTGATTGCAATGTCAGACGAATGCTAACAGAAGTAAATTGAATTCTTACTTGATTTGGGTCGTGTTTGCTGCATCCGATGTTGATCGAAAAATTGTTCACAACATTCATTAACAAAAGTAGTAGTTAATGAATCGTCTGTACCGTTGTTGTAATCCAAATTATATGGAATAAAATGTTGTAAATCCTTTTAGTGCTTGCTATAACATGGCGTTTTCCAAGAATTTGGAATCCCGATTTAGTATTATACACAGTTCAGCTGACACAGGCAAAATTAGAGCATGCAATGCTTTAATTTTTTTGCGTTGGTCCCTCCTAATTCAATTACCATGGTGACATAATACCACTAGCTGTTTGAGAATGGATGAATGCTGTACTCTATTTCCATAGAACACCTTCAAACAGAAATTTTGAGAATAAGTTGATGAGATTCTTGCTTCTCAAAATCACCGTAAAATCCTTGCATATATTACGACTGGTAAGACAAACCCTCGTGCATCTGTTAAAGCGCCCAAGTTGCATTGCTTGAAACCACAGCTACATTCTAATTGCGGGTGTGTTTGCTTAAATTGGTTGCCGTTTTGGGGTCGTGTCCCGAGAACACACAACTGGTGGCAGAGATGTGGAGAGGGGTGAGCCAGAGCCATAAACCTCGGCTTAACGCCTCAACATGTGTCTACAGGGGGGGGTGCGAGATACATTGGCCTAATTCCCACTACCTTTCCCCCCCAAACTAAAACAACTTTTATTGCCTTTCGTGTGGTCATCTTGGGGACAGGGACAATTTCCCCTTGGCTTTTGCCGGAATCCTTCACTCGAGCCTTTTCATACCTTCCTTTGTCAGTATATCGGTGAAATTAGATCAAACCTACTTTAACACCACTTCTATTTTTCCATTAGTAGAGACGGAGTGACCAATAGGTTCAATAGCTGCATCATGTCGAAGATTTATTCCAAATGCAAAATTTTTGAAACACCCTCAGATGGGACTTTGAAATCACTCTCTAAAGCTTCCTTTGTCAACTTTGCTTCGTTACCGGAGACATGTACCCAACCCATACGCTGAAATCACGTCAGTAAGCAGTGTCAAGAAAATAAGGCGTTAATGCAGGTTTGAAAATCATTCGTCTACTCTTCAATATTCATCTTTGCTATAGCTTATCTAAATAAATGACTAGGCTTACAACTTTTGCTTGGGTCAAAGCACTATGCTTGGTTGGTAATCCCAGTGTTAATAATCCATAAATTAAGCAATGCTTTAGATACCTCCTTCCAATAGAAACTTGGAAATTTAAATATGTCATGTTTTTGCAAAACTCCTAATAATATATCGAAAAAATCAATTAGGAATTTGCGATTTCCCGCGTCTGTTAAATGTGATAGCCTAAATCACAATGGTGTAAAGCGTAGGGATTTAACATCCCTTAAATCAGCCTCAAAGGTGTCAAGCATCAAACCGTAAAGCTTCCAGGGACTTTATTTCTGCACAATCCCAACAGAAATTAAGTGTTTGAGGGTATTTGTCTTGAATTACTGCCTAATTTCGTGAAACAATAGTTTATTGAAGTCATGGATCAGTTAAAGAGGTAAGGCGGTCTTCCCCTCAGCATAAACAAGGTTTTTAGTTGTCAGGTCAAAAGTTTGTATTGTGCGATATCAGCAGTCCTTTATTTAAACAAAATGTTGTACTTTGAACACAATGGCTTTAATAGAAGTCTTTAGTAACTGTTTCTGTGTTCGTCACAATGCAGACTTACGAATGAAGATCTTGGGTAAATTAGCCAAACTAACAAACAAGCAATCTTAGACAGGGCCACAATTCAAGGCTAGTTTGAGAGGCTTCGACGTGGCGATTCCACTTTAAAAGAAACGAAATTCCACAGTCGTACTTGCTCTGTCACTAACTGTGAGTATAGTGAGAACTAGGAGAGGAAAAGCTAATTACATAAATCGCGGCATTTGACAACCACTATAGCATTGTGTTCCACCAGGCAAATTTATACCCTTAATGAACATTCTCAGACGATTCGTCGATTATGAATGGACCATGCACATCCTTTATTACATCCTCTTCACCTCACTGTTTCGTTCGTTAAAAACTTATTTGCAAACGCAAAGTTTAAATGTTTTTGTGTTTCTTGGTGCTATTCTGTCCACGCATTTTGACGACAACATTTTAAACGAGATGAAAATCAAAAATTGACTACAATAATTTCAAAAAAAGTTGAGAACCACTTGGATATCTTACCCAAGTTCCTGCGTACCAGCAAATCCGCGGGAATCACAAGTTGTCTTATTCACATACTCCCTCTGTCCTTTCTGATCGTCAATGTTCAACTTTATTTAAAGGTCTCCATGTCTAGACTGGTAGAAATTTAGTCATCAGCAGTGTCTGTATACCAGACGTGAACGTTCTATTTCCGTAGTCATAGAAGCCACGTGTAATTTCTTTCTAGTTGATCATTCAAAACACCGGCTTTTATGACAGAGGGCAAAAAGCAGGCCTTTTGGATTAATGTGTTGGTTTTCAATAACAGGTGAATTTTTCTAAAGAAAATTATTAGATTGGCTCAGGTAAGGTAACCAGGGATTTTTTGTTGAAGTGGAATAAATATGTCAACAAAGCTGCACCAATCGCTTGCTTGTTGTTCTGAGTCTTCATGGAGTTTCACTTAAAAGGGATCCGCGAAAGGGCATTCCTTTTTTAATCAAAACTAAGCGAGGGTAATCAAGCAGACCGATTTGTGGGAAAAGCAAAGTTAATTATTCCAGAATTTGTAAGCCCGGTGTTTGGTTTACGGGAGGACGTTTTTATTATCTGACAATGGTCATAAAGAGCCTTCGGCTTCTACTCACCCTCAATTAAACCGTGGAAGCCAAGAGCGCGTTTTCAGCGTTATAGTGGTACAAATTTTCCTCCAACCGATTTAGCACTTCAAGGGGGTCAAAAGCGGGATTTTCCCCATTTTTTTAACATTATTTTTCTTTTTTGGCTTTTTTATTTTAATGCAAACAAGGCTTATGACAACTCCCGCCTACTTACATGACCTTCAATTATTTATTCGAAATTATTACATTTGATTTGTGAAAACTCTTAAAAGATACATCATGAGATACTGTCTCGAGAATGCACTGGCCACTATTTAATCACAGACTAGGTAATACCATTGTGGAAAAAAACTTTTGCTTCAATTTATCCTTTTTAATTGACACCAGTGATTTAGTCAACAATTATATTGGTTCACCTTAACAAGGGGTGTACACTGGTCTGTAAGTTTGCGTCCAAGGAGTGCTACTATGTCTGAATCATTGTACTCTCACGATAATTCATGAAGGATGGCTGATTCGGACGGAATCACATTACAGTACACTGATTCTTCTGCTTCGCTAACAAGTTAATGCCGTTAGACTCCTTCTGTTTTCGTGGCTTAGCAGCTTTAAGCAAATTGCGATAAGTTAGGAAAGGACACGAAGGAATTTAGATCCTTGAGAATATAGCCGTCCGCTTTAGATACGCCTAGAGTTCTTGTTAAACAGCTTCCGATATTCCATGGGTCACTTAGCTTACCCTCTAATTCGAAGTGGTAAGTTAATTTGATTGTACTTTTCTTTCAGAAAAAAAGTGGTTTGCTAAAAAATGCATCACTTAATGACGGCCCAATTAATCACTTATTTTTTCCCTCAAATCTCTCCTGAAAATGTGCGTTACTGAGTTTCTTCTGATTGGGTCATTAGCACCATTTTTACGTGGGGCAAAAATAACCTGATTAATGCATTGTGGTATGAACTAATTAATTTTGTGGGCAACTTTTACCCAGTTTACTTCATCTTAGGGCTTTCACTAAACAAAAATTACAGTCCAGCATTGTAATCCTTTGACAGAGGTTATCGTTCAGGAAAAGTCAGGTAACTTTAAACGCTTGTATCAATTTAATTATTGGTTGAACCATGGTGCTGTCGCCGATGGGACATTTTTTAAATAAATAATGTTGACCAGCAACATTAGTCTCACATTAAGACGTTAGGAATTTCAACAAGAAGGACGCAAATGCGCACGCATAATATCTTAAGAGTATGTCAATCGAATTGTCTTCTGTGGCGAGTATAATCCAGTGTAAGTGGCTGCTTGATTCCACGTTGGGCAGTGTTCCGAGTTGACCATTTGGTCAGTGACAAACCATTCAAACCAAGAACTGGAAGCAGAACAGGGATTTAATAATTTACTGAACGTCATTTTTAGTGAAATTTTGGTTATTAATATCAGGAAAACATCTGGTTTGATTGCACCATGCAAAAAGACAGTATTGTATATTACGAAAAACACATTCAGAACGGCCTGTTATGGGCCCCAGCATGTGGTCTTGAACCACACCGGGGCCACTGAGTTAATTCTGGCCCGATTACTCTTCCCTCCTATTCGCGATGAAGAAAAAGGCTGGAGAGAACGTGGACACAACCGTTTACTCCAGAGCTCAACCACGTTGGTGTCATTGTGTCAGGTGTGACGTTTGTGCATTTATACCTCAGATGTATGAGTCATTGATGAACTAACATCGGGATCTAGACATGAGGATAATCCATTGTAAATGTTCATGAGAATTTGGGGGAGCTGAGGATTCGCGCGGCTGGCAACGTGCTGCTGTGTCAGAGGGTGGAGTAATCGGATTAACGACAGGCCTATATTTTAGCAAGAATCGATATTTTTCTCTCAACTTAAAATACTTTTAATTGCCTGTGCTCTGAGTGACGCAATGTCATCTTCTTTTGAATTATCTATCAAATTTTATTTACAGATCAGTATTCCATCTGAGGTATAACCCATCACACAAATCATACCTAGTGTTTGATGGAAATGATTTTTGCAGCTGGCGTGAAAAACGATGCAACACTAAAGAACCTTTGAAGAATTGATGCGAAAACACT